GAACTCCACCGAAGTGAATTCGCCGCCGCAATCAGTCCGCAGCATGCGCAGCTTCTTGCCGCTCTCCGCCTCCGCGTGCGCCTTGAACTTCTTGATCGCCTCCGCCGCCTCGTCCTTGCTCGTCAGGAGTTGCAGCCACATATAGCGACTGCAGTCATCCACGAGCAGGAGGAAGTACCGCCGACCATCTTTTGTGGCTGGCGTGATTGGCCCGCAGAGATCGCCGTGGACGAGTTCGAGAGCGTCCGCCACGCGATACTTGGCCGCCTTTGGGAACGACAACCTCATCTGCTTCCCGGCTAGGCAGCTGTCACACAGCTCGCCTCCGTGCTTGATGTGGGGCAGCCCTCGGACCATCTTTTCCAGCCGACCGAGCGCGTCGAAGCTGAGATGGCCGAACCGGGCATGCCATAGCCACAGCTCCTCGGTGTGCCGTGCTGCCACACCGGCTGCTCCACCTTCAAGTCGAGCAGGTACAATCGATTACTGAACTCGCTCAACTTTACTGAGTTGCAGTGGGAAGCTATATATACAACTCTACCCATCTAATTCTAGTACACAGATATGCCATGCTGCTACAGTGACTAGACATGACAGCAGGGCTGACTTTGACGCCTGTCCCTGTTGTGGCTACAGTGCGGCAGGGGAGGAGCCCTTTTAGCCCCTGCCCTTACCGCGCGTGTAGACGATGGAGCAGCAGATTACTTTACATAACATACTAGTACAATAGAAATCCAAAGCAGCCTGAGAACATGTCATGTCAAGTATTTTTAATCGCATGCAGCATTTCTCTTTTACCATGAAAGCTCGGACGAACGGTGCCTCCTGATTCACAATGTTTTGTGTTTAGCCAGAGGATTAGGTTTGGCAGCTCGGAGGCATGCGTGCAAATGGACTAAGCGACTACCTACCCACCATAAGTGTTGCCGCCTACGTAATATGGCCAAGGATTAACCCAAAAAAAAAATGTTGCATGGGTTGACAGGGTTGTGATGGAGGCATCAGGTTCTAGAAATTTTGACTACCATCTGAAAGAGTGACAAAGTCTTAAAAGTGACAAGGTTGGTTTTAGCAAAACTAAACAAGGTTTTGCACGGGCAAAGGCCGAAAACAAGCAGTCAAGTGCAGTCCAAGAATGAGGTCCTGCGTTTCTCTATCATGCTTTATATATAATATTCGTGGCAATTGAAAGAGAGCAAAGTTAAGCGAGATGGATGGGTGCACCACGTATCCCTGCAATGATACATTGATTAGTTATACATCACATCTTTATGCTCTTCACCACGTAATTGAAAGAGAGCAAAGTTATTAGTAGTTCGAACTTCTAAGGGGAGGCAGGGTGTGGCCATTTAGATGAAATTTGAGTTCGGCTTTTGGGCCTAGACGTGGACCCAAAATTATGAATTTCTTCCTGGGCCTGCCTCTTGGTCATTACTCATTGGAAAGAAGAAAAAAAAGAAAAATTCCTTACATGCCATTAGCATAAACCTAAACCCCTTATCTGCAACCTAAAAAACACGATTCTCATACATTTAATTGGTGTTAGATTGTAATCCTTTCATATCAAGGTAATTGTCTGAGTAAGTATATCAACATCCATATGTCAGTATTGCTCCTGCTAGTCGTCCCCAAATCGCAAAGGTAGGCAATAATGAGCAAATGGGCGGCTCGGTGAGAAAGGAGGTGGTAGAGATGAATCTTTGATTGAGAAACATGTGCTGTGTGCTGCTAGGGTCGGCTATGTGAGTTGCTCAGTGTGTGGGCGAGCGTGGTTGCTAGCTGCTATTGCTCGATGTCCTGATTGGCTGTTATCGTGCTATTTTTGGCTGTGAGCGTGGCAGTGGTTGTGGAGGGTAGGCCCACTGGACACTCTTCACATGTACCTAAGGTCTTATGTGAATAAGATCCTTCAAAAGTTCCAAGGTTGCATTCAGTGGCGAAGCTAGAGCAAATTAGAGGTGGTGCGTGTGCCTTATAGATGCGTAAACTTAAATCGTAAACACGGTGAAAATTTGATCTACTCAATGATATTTTATTTTTTCGTGGGTGCATCTACACCCACAAACTTATATATAGCTTCGCCACTGATTGCATTAGCACAATATAATCTACATCATGTGCTCAGTTGGGGGTGTAAACAGGGTGCAACTAAATTTATGTTCAAGTGAGAGGGCGGGCAAATTGATCTTTTTGATGTCTATTAGTTAAGACTAACAGAATATGATCAACAATGACGTGAAAGAGATTAAATTTATAGATAGTGCTACTAACGAAATTTGAGTTTTTAGGTGACAAATCAGGGATAGAGGTTTTAGCCAATGACATTAGCAAAATTTCCACAAAAACATATGAAGTTAAAGTTGTCGAGTACTCCGTCCGGTCAAAAGTACCTTATGTTTTGGATGTGTACTTTAACCATTATTTTATTTGATTATTTATTTGAGCATACTTGTAAATCTAGCAAGTATAAGATTATAAAAATATCTTCGAATAGAGATCTATATATCCTAAAGTTATTGGTAGTCAAGTTTTTTCACGAGTTTGACCGGATCTTGTCCAAAATAGACCAGCTGAAGTACTTTTTTAAATAAAAAATATATATGATTATGACAAGATGATTAGTTTTTTTTAACCAATTAGCTTGTTATATATACTCCATTCTAATAAGCTCTATTCCAAGTTATAAGTTGTTTTAGATTTGTCCTAGGTCAAATTTATCTAGTTTTGATTAAGTTTATGGCAAAATATAAAAAATGCACTATTAAACTATATTTCATGGTGTATCTAATGAATTTTATTTGATGTTATAGAAATCTATGAATTTTTCCATAAATTTGGTCAAAGCTAGACAAGTTTTTATTTTGGACAAAGCTATAACGTACAATTTGAAACAAAAAAAAAGTACAAAGAATGGAGAGATTACTTAGTACTTTTGTATTGCTTGCAGCATTTAAAAAAACTACAATGACAAAGAACTCGCTAGAGGGAGCGATGCGCCATTAGTTTTTTCATTTGAATAGGTGACTTGTTTACTCCCTAGTAAAATTATCTGAAGGAGATTCTCAGTTCATTTTAGTCATGCTCACTAGATGGCATTACCTCTGTTCCAAATCATTGGCTGCTTTTGTTTTTTTCATATATAATTTTTACTACGTATCTAGATAGTGCATGTCTAGGTGAATAACAAAGTTATATATCTAGAAAAACTAAAACGACCTATAATTTAAGTGTGAAGGGAGTACACTGCTTTGCTTGACTAGGAGAGCACAGATAAGCCTGGAGTTATTTTATTGGGTATTTGGTTTGTTGCCTCTAGAGCTTATTTGAACAGGGGACCCTGATAGTTCCTAAAAGGTTTGTACCTTTTCTGCCTCTTTATTTACTTTATTACTACTAATACGACTTTCTTCTTTTAGTTAGGTCCGTCATGTTAGTGGTGTAGGTTAAAATCTGGTTGCAGAAGTGAAGTGTGTAAAGACTAATTTTCTTTTAATCGTCGAATAAGAATGTGAAGTACGTAAGAGGGTGTGCCGCTGTATGCTGCCATATACCTTTTTTTTTTGTAAATAATGTAATATATATGACAACCAGACAATGCACCAGCTAGTGTGTTTGCTTGTATAGGGCGGTGTATATCAAAGTCCCCATCGTCAAAACAGCAGCTCCAGGTCCATGATCCATATAAGATTTCAAGTCAAATATACGATAGAGCTGTTTAAACAAACATACGCATTTAATAAGAATGAAATTGCTAAGCCCAATACCTTTTTATTTATTTATTTTTAATTTTGTGAAATTCTAGACCCTGTTCATTTCGCTAAAATTTGACTTGTCTGGCTACTTATGTTGAAATGTTATAAGAGAAAGACACTGTTCGACCGCTGAATAGTGCTCCTGAAGCGGTGCTGCAAAATAGGGGGCTAGTGCTTGGCGAAGAGCAGTCACTACCAACGTGGATTAGAAATTTGGCATTTTGTAATAAGTAGTAATAAAAAAAGGTACGGCAATATGTGACGACAACATGTTACACGTGGCGATCAACTACGCCGGGCTGCGGTGAGTGGCGATGAGGCATGTGGCCTTATTTACCGTGTGTGTGGGCTGGGCCAGAACTAAAAGGCAAGACAGCTACTGTTTAATGGGCTGGATATGGCTAACTGACAAAATCGTTGGGTCGGCTGCGATGGAGAACAGGCCAACGGCCGAGATATCCACCTCCACAGCTCCACTAGGGTCGGCACATGAAGGGGACTGGATGAAGAGCTCGGTACTTGTATAGCGGAAAAAGTCCACTTTATCTCTCTCATCTTTTGCGAAAGTCAGCTTTGTCTCCCTGGACTCGAAAACCAGACACTGGCCCTCCCTCATCTATCAAAACCGTGCACTTGACCCCCAAAGCTGGTATGTAGGCTGGTTTTTGCCTTGCTGGCGCCACGTCGGATGTGGGGCCCATGCTGAGTCAGCCCAAGACTTAATGAAAAAGAGTAGGCCCGTGCCCTTGGGTTGTCTGACCAAAAAATCCCCCCCAAATCGAAACCCTAGCTCGCACTGCACGGCGGCGGACATCGCGGCTCCGGTTGCGGCGCCGTCGGACGTCGAAGCTAAGGCTTGCGCGACGGCGTACGGCTGTGGCTTCGGACTCCACGCACGGGCACCGCTGTCGATTTGGATTTCGTCTAACACTGGGTTAGATCGACTCCGCGTGGTGACCACGGTAAGTGCTAAGCCACACATGGATCCATGTAGCTTGAGTTGTTTTTGTTTGGAAATGGTCTATTCTCTTGGAGTTTGTGTAATTAACTAGTAATTGGTACATCTGACCTTGATTATAGCTTATGCTTTACAGTGTCCGTCATATTTTGAGGCCAATAGGCAGCTTTATGTTGCACTTGTAGTCATATTTTAAGCACTGATGTTCTTTATTGGACCTATTTTATAAGACTAAACCTCATAGCGTGTATGTTCTTTATTGGACCTCTGTAGGCTACAGGTGCTTAGCAATGGATGTTTGCGACTTCCTCCTTGTTCGGTTTCATTTTAATGGGGACTTCTTGAGGAATAGCAATGGACTGTTTTATGTTGGAGGTACTCAAGCTATGTCTTATATAGACCGAGATAAGTTGTCACTGCCTGAAGTTGTTGGTCATCTCCGTGATCATTGCACTGTCAAAGAAGGCACATTGTTGCATTGGCTGTTTCCAGGGAGAGACATGAGTACAGGCCTAAGAGCTTTGGTTGATGACCGGGTGTGCCAGTACATGTCTGGCTGCATTGTTGAAGGTGGAGTTGCAGATGTGTATGTTGAAACTCACGAGTAGGATGCAGCAGATGAAGCAAGTGACTACGAGCAAGAGATGGAAGATAATTTAGAGGATGATGAGATAGAAGATGAAGATCTGCAACCTTTGAGTATTAGGAAAATTGGAAGCAAAGAAGTAGAGAAGCAAGTTGCCCTTATCAAACAATTTTATAGTAGTCCGAATAAAGAGAAAGAACATGCAAATAACATGCCGGGACATACATATGGAGATGAGAAGTCTGACACTAACAGTGAGTACATGGCTGGAGACTCATGCAGTTCAGGTGATGATGATGAAGCGGCCCAGATATATAGGAAATTTAGGAATTTCAAGAAGTTCAAGAGGGGTGAGGCAGCAAGCTTAGATGATGTGATATATGAGGGTGTTGTATCTATGCACTCCATATATAGATAGTAGCGATGCTAAATCTGTTGATGAGTTAGGAGGTCTGGGTCAAGGTAGTATGTATCCAAGATTTAACAAGAAGAATTATGTTGTCAAGTTTAAGCTAGGAAATGAAGTTTAGTTCTAAGAAGCAATTCAAAAAGGCTGTAATTAAACATGGCTTGGATAATAGAAAGGTTATTCGGTTTGTTAAGGATGATCCAAAGAGGGTGAGGGCCATATGTGACTGGAAAGGTTGCCCATGGGTATGTCTGTTGTCAAATACTTCTAGGACTGATAGTTGGCAAATATCTACATTTACCAATAATCATGTGTGTCCACCTAGAAGAGACAACAAACTAGTCACATTAACTAGAATTGCTAGAAAATATGAGAAATTTATTTTTGCCAACCCCTGCTGGAAACTTGGGCATATGTTGTAGACAGTGCAAGAAGAAATGTTTGCCAATGTTACAATGTCGAAGCTAAAGAGAGCAAAAGCACTAGTGATGAAGAAAGCTTTTGATGCAACTAAAGGGCAGTACTCTATGCTGTATGACTACCAGATGGAGCTAAAGGGCAGTACTCACAGGCAGGCAACACACATGCACTGAACTCAGAGGGAGGAGGTAGCTCACAGCCAGCAGGTTCTCAGTCCGCTGCTGGAGGTAACCCAAATGCTATTGTTGTGCTGTCTAATACACAAAAGAGCAGCACAAGCTGTACAAAAAGGAAGTCCACATCTGATGTATCTAGTACACAGAGTCAGAAAAAGGTATGTTTACCTACATCTCAAAGTTTTAACTTATGTAGCTTGTATTTGAAATTAATTCTAGCTTTATGTAACTGATGTAGGCAAAGGCAACAAACTCACGTAACATCATCAAATCGAGTGCACATGCCAGGGTTTCGACAATTCCTTCTAGCTCAGCTACAATTAACCTGCAAGCCAGAGTGCCCACTTCCAATGTTAATTCTAGTGTGCATGTACAGTTAACTGGTGGGACTACATCTGTTCGTGTGTCAGCTCAAGAACCGGCCAAGTTGAAGTCCAAGCCTGCTCCAAAGAGATCTGGAACTGCTCCACTCCTGATGCTTCCTCCATGGCAATCTGATAAGCTGTGATGTGTACAGCTTGCTGGCTGTATGCCAAACTTGAATAATTATGCCATGTATGACAATTATTTGCACTTATATGTGTTCGTCAGTGTTGTGTTATCTGTGAGAACATGCCTATATATCCATCCGGATGAGTGAGAGTAGAGCTGACTGACATGATATCATGTTGTAAGCATTATTATGGTGCATGCCTATTTCTAGCTAGTGTCATTGTCGGAAAACTGATGCAACACTGAACTGTAAGGTTTGTGCAGCTCCTTCTCTGGCCATCATTCTACTTGTACAAGTTAAGGAATGGCAAGCCAATTTCTGTTCAGATAGTTGAAAATGTCAATTCAATAAGATCGAAGCAAGCCAAGTACATAATTATACAGCTATCACTTAAACATTGAGTACCGAGGATCAACGAACTAGACCTATTTTACAATAATTAAACAGCTATCACTTAAACATTTGCATCAGCACCAACACAAGGAGAATGGCGGAATTGAAACCTAACAACACTAATACAGCAACACCAACACATATCATCCAATTCATATGTCCTTGCTTCTTCTTCGTGCCTCCCTTCTTGGCCGCAGCTACAGTCCTTCCAACAGGTTCTTTCTTCAGTTCATACATCTCAGATTGCACAATCCCATCCACAGTCTCTGTCATCTCCAATGGACGGTAATGACACATCTGAGACTCTTGAAGCATCCCATAATTAACAAGAAAGTTGGCATATTCTTCTTCGAACATGTAGAACTCACAAAGAGGAAACTGAAACGGCAAAAAAAATTCAGTCCCCACTGTACAAACCCTAACTTTGATTTACCACCATAAATTTCAATAAGGAAACCGAACCTTTTTGTACTTCCTTAGGCATTTGAAGAACCTTTCAATTGGGTGCTCATCTGATTTTGACATCAGCTTCAAAATCCTCCCCATGCCGCAGTACGGACACCAGATTAGCTGCAGCCCACTTTCTCCAAGTAGTGGCTCCGCGTGTGGATTCTGGCTGCGGTAGGAGCAGACGCGATGTGCTAGGGGCCATAGGGAAATCGAGGGGAAGCAAGGAAGAGGCTAAGGGCGGTGCGGCAAGAAGGTGTCGAGGAAGAGCGCTGCGGCGATGTCTGAGCGGAGCCGCAGGGGTAGGAGACGAGATGGAGTCGAGATGAACGGGCCTACTCTTTTTCATTAAGTCTTGGGCTGAGTCAGCATGGGCCCCACATCCGACGTGGCGCCAACAAGGCAAAAACCAGCGTGCATACCAGCTTTGGGGGTCAAGTGCACGGTTTTGATAGACGAGGGAGGGTCTGTGTCTAGTTTTCGAGTTCAGGGAGGTAAAGCTGACTTTCGCAAAAGATGAGAGAGGTAAAATAGACTTTTTCCTTGTATAGCTCATTCGACTCAGCTCTGTTAGCGGCTCGGCTTAGCTCGTTTAGTCCAAGTAGTTAACTAGCCAGCTTATTATCAGCCTAAGCCAAAGACCAATTGTACAGTACCGTCTCGATCTAACCAGGCCCATGAGTATAGTAAGGCCTACACGTGAATTTATAGTTGTGTGCACGAGTAGTGTTTATAGGGTTAATAATACGATTCATTCATAAACTCTACGTCTATATTTGGCTTGTTCGAATAAGAGAAAATGGCTGCATTGCAACTGCATTACAATAATTTGGACTATTCGGCTACGGCTACGCCGCTGTTGCTACAGTGAGATGTGAGTGGAGAAGAAGACACAGGCCGCAACAACATCTGATGCTTTTAGTAGAAGTGAACAGTGCAATTGCAGCCGAATAAACCACTAGAAAAACTAGCGCGGCTTTGCCGTGCCCTACTTAGAGCATGCTAGTAGATCATTACTTTGGGATGCAGGATGAAGAAACGCACCACTATTTTATCAAACATTATATAGCGAGCCAAAACAAATAGTGTGGCATTAGAACAAACTTAATCAGTTCAACTAATCAATCTCTAACTATGGAATGTTAGCAAACACCGTACATCAAAGCCGAGAAGTAAATAGGAGTTCATAGCAAGGAAGATAGCTATTCTAGGAAGCCCCTTGCCACTGTAGAGCCAGATGAAACAAACAGAACAAGGTATATGAGGAAGATACGTTTGATACCTGAAGGCTTAAGCTAGAATTGCGTTTTTTTTTGAGGGAGGGAGTACTCCGGTTCATTAGAACAAATCTAGTTTATTATCAATTGAAAAAAACAAATAAGTGCGAGTGGTAAAATCCATCCATATATCAGCTCCTGAACATTTGTGAAGTCGTCATAGGCAATGCGGAGTCGATTGCCCGTGCCCCTGCGCACCGAAGAGATGTGGGACCGACCCTCCGTATCAACTCTTGGTCGGCACAGGAACGCAGGCTCTAATGTCTGCTTTTTGACGGCCCAATAAAGATCAGACGGTGCAGAATAACAGGACGACGTGGCAAAATCAGGGGACAAGGTGACTGGTGCAAGATTCGTGTTGTAAAAGATTTACCCTGAGTCGCGTTTTGCTGGCAGGCGGGGCCTCCATGGCGGAGTCCGCCTGCCGGCGGCGAGGGTGCTGCGTGCATGCCAGACTGCCAGGGGGTCGCAGGTCGCTGTTCGCGGACGGAGGAGTCGTTCCGGAGCGTGACATGTTTGTACGTGAGTACATGCATGTCTCTTCATCAGCCACGCAACAGCAGAGTGGCGTCACGGAGGTGACGTCATGGGCAAGGCCAAACCGTGCAACTCGTGCGTGTGGTCACCTGGTCATCTTCAGATTCAGATCTGTCGACACAGGGCCGGGCCCATCGAATTCAAAGTTGACGGGTACAGTGCGAATTATCCGCAGGGAGCCACGGGCACGGGCTCTGAGCTCGTACGCACGGGCCCCATTCCTGCTGGCTCATCAAGTCAAGGAGCCCGTTACAGTCCCCACCCTTTATTACCCTAAAACAAAAAGAATGTATATATCACTTTTCAAAGTCATTTTTAAAATTTTGACTGTACATATGCAAAAAAAATTCTGATATTTTCAAAGAGTCATTTTTTTATGATAGATTTACCATATTGAAATATATTTTTATAAGAATAAAATGCATGATAGATTTAGATTCTAAAGGCTACAATTTACCATATTGAATTAAAATAAATAATCTCTTTCATCTTAAGGGCTACAAATTACCATATTGATACTATATATTGATTCAGATTCTAATGCTCTAGATTCATCTCTTTGATACCGATGGATACAATGGTAGTTTGTGATGGAATGACATTACAATAAGTCAAACAAACAAGACTACCCGCATACAGAATTTTGGAGTAAAAGAAACCTAAATGCAAGTACAATGTTAAAAAACTAGCTACCTGTGCTATTGGCGGCGTGGACCACCTTGCTATAGTTCACTATAAAAAAACGTTTATAGCAACGGAATAATTTTTTTAGGACGGCTGGTGATGGAGCCACCCCTACAGTGGTGTGTTTGGGACCTAGGAGACCAGCCGCCCCTACAAATAAAGCAGTAGGGGCGGCTGGTCATACGAGCCGCCCCTACAAATGGAGCAGTATGGGCGGCTGGTCATATGAGCCGCCCCTACAAATGAGTCGGATTTGTAGGGGCGGCTCACTCACCGGCCGCCCCCAGTGTTTCTATTTGTAGGGGCGGTTCCTGAGTTAGCCGCCCCTACAAATATTTTTTAATTTATTTTAATTACTAATTCTGTAATTCATTCGTATATAAAGAAAACAATATAAATTTATATATTAGTTTTTTTATTATTCTATATATATAAATATATGTATATATAAACAATTTTATTATAAATATAGATATAATTCTATATTTTCTTCTTTACAAAAACAATATTTTAAAATTTTAAAATTTGAATTTTAAAACAACTAATAAATTTTAGGACAATAAATGATCTCAAATGAAAATTTTGTAAACATCAAAGTTGTAGAACTCATCAAGATGTATAATTTATATTTTGGTCATCTTTTCATTTGACAAAATTTGAAAAGTTTAAATTTTGAATTTCAATAAATAACAACTTCAAACAAGATTTTAAAACCTTAAATGATTTCAAATAAGAAAGTCATGAACATAAAAGTTGTTGAACACATTACTATCTACAACTTTTATTTTAATTAATCTTTTTATTTGACTAAATTTGTACAGTTCAAATTTTGAATTTTAATAAATGACAACTTCAAACAAGATTTTGAAACCTTAAATGATTTCAACTAGATATGTCATGACCATAAAAGTTGTTGAACTCATCACTATCTATAACTTTTATTTTGATCATTTCTTTATTTAGCAAAGTGTTAGTAAACATTGTTCACAAATCCACATATCACTCATAGTTTCATAAACTATACGAGAGACATGTTGATTTGTGAACAATGTTTACTATTAGTTTATCAGATGAAGAAATGATCAAAATAAAAGTTTTAGATCTTGATGAGTTATACAAATTTGGTATTCATCACTTTTTCAGCTGAAATCATTTAATGGTTGAAAATCTCGTTAGAACTTATCATTTTTTTAAATTTGAAAATTTGAATTGCTCAAACTTTATCAAATGAAAAGAATGATCAAATCAACACAGTAACTTTTAGGGAATGATTTAGAAAATTTTAGAAAAAAAAATCATCACATTTGGAGTTAGTACGAGGGAGAAAGACTAGTTACAAATTTTACCCAGAGATTAAAAAGAAAAATCACAACTGTTCATGATGATCAATGATGAACAAGTGTGATTTCTCTTTTTAATCTGTGGCTGAAACTTATAACTAGTTTTTCTCCCTCATACTAACTCCAAATGTGATGGTTTTTTTTCCTAAAATTTTCTAAAATCATGCTCTATCATTTTAGTCTGGTCATCTATCCTTGTAACTAATTTTGGACAACTAAAATCAATGATGAACAAGTGTGATTTTTCTTTTTAATCTCTGGGTACAATTTATAATTAGTCTTTCTCCCTCATACTAACTCCAAATGTGATGATTTTTTTTCTAAAATTTTCAAAAAT